ATAGTTTCATCTAAATCTGTTTACAAGACCCCATATAAGATGTGAAAAGCTAAAAGACCATACTTGTCCCACATAAAAATTTGGGGATGTGATGCTAATGTTAAGCATGCACAAGTTGACAAGCTTGGCACTAGATCGGTTAAGTGTAAATTTATGGGATATCCTAAGGAAACTATTGAATATTATTTCTATAGCTCTGAGGAACAAAAGGTGTTTATTTCTAGACATCATGTTTTCTTAAAAAAAGAGTTTATCTTTGAAAAGAATAGTGGGAGTAAAGTAAAACTTGAAGAAGTTCAAGAAACAAAAATTGACACAAGAATGAAACTTAAGCCAATGGCTAAAGCATTAGTTGGCAACTGAAAGCTCAAAATACATAAAAACTTTATAATAGTAGGGTTCGCCAAGCTTTTGAGATGTATGAATTTCTCATGGACAAAGATGAGTTTTATCATAGATAATGATCTTACTACCTATCAAGAAGCAATGTTGGACATTGATTCTGAGTAATGGCATAAGGACATGAAACCCGAAATGGAATCCATGTATGCAAAGTAAATATGGACTTTGGTAGAACAACTTAAAAGGATAAAACCCATAGGGTGCAAATGGGTTTTCAAGAAGAAAACCAACAAGGATGGCAATGTACAAATATACAAAACCAAGCTAGTTATAAAAGGTTATTAAAAAAAAAAAAAACAAGGAGTTGATTTTAATGAAACTTTTTCACCAATAGCCATGTTGAAATCCATTAAGATTTTGCTTTTTATTGCAAGATACCATAACTATAGGATTTGGAAAATTGATGTCAAAATAGCATTTCTTAATGGAAATCTGCAAGAAGATATGTACATGACACAACTCAAGGGTTTTGAATCTAAAAAGAATGCCAACATGGTTTGATAGCTCCAAAGGTCTACCTGTGGACTTAAGTGAGCATCAAAGAATTGGAATATACATTTTGATAAAGCAATTATAGAATTTTGATTCATAAAAAACATAGATGAACCTTATGTATATAAAAAGACAAAAGGGAATGTAATCGTTTTCATAGTACTGTATGTGGATGACATATTGCTTATAGGAAAACTATATACCCATGCTACAATATACCAAAATTTAGTTATCAAAGAAGTTGTCCATGAAAGATTTGGGAGAAACAACATATATGCTGGGCATAAAGATCTATAAAGATAGATTAAAGAGCCTGATTGGTCTCTCACAATGCGAATTAAAAAGGTTGCTTGGTCTCTCACAATATGCTAAGACAAGAAGACACTATTGAATCTCTTATTAAAGCTATATCCCAGCAAAAACATGATACATGTATACAAATATGGAATTAGATACATGCATAATTGGCTTTAGTGCAAGTGAGAAATTATTGGTATTTGCCCTTTAAATCGAATAATATTTGTGCTAAGATATTGTCATATTTTGTAGTACTTTGATATTTAATATATTATAAAAGTCTTATTTCTTTATCATTGAGCTTGTATACATATTTTAATGTTGATGCTTATATGATAAAATCCTCATAATATAAATAAAGCTTTGCATAGGAATTACAATGAGATTGTAATTATAAGATCATCATTGCATAAAAACTATATGTTTGAAAATTGTTCCTAATTGATACTTTATCAATAATATGACATTGATAAAAGTTGTTGAGACTAGCACATGATTAAGTTCTTACTTATAAAGCGAGCAATCAATCTCATATGTTGAAGTTTTGGTAAACTTGAACTAACATATAGGTGGTTGTTACAAAAACAAGTTTACTAAACATGAGCTAATATGAAAAAGCTATATGGTAGTTTATATAGTATCTATAGCTACATTCTCATGTAAAAATGATCCTTCGACTTGAGATTACTTATGCTCTTATATGATAACTGTTATATTTTGATTTTACTCATGGTTCTAACAAAGAATGTTCGAATCGAGTATTGTTAGGTATAACATGAAACATATGAAGACGCATGAAGTAATCAAGATGGGATTCATTACCTAGTGTGATCAATAGAGTATCTCAACTAGTCTTGATTAAATTAACTTAAAAAAATCTTTAGTCAAAGTGAAATAAGATTTTAGAATTGTTCTGAACTTATTTGTGAGTTAATATCAAGAAAAAGACTAAATATGATTAAACAAGATTAAATAGACACTAAACCATACTCAATATTCAAACTGAGATACTATGTAATGAAAAGATATTAATTATACACTAAGACCATTCATGATAGGTTGTCAAGCCATATTGACTTTTCTTTAGCAATTAAGGGTCAAGGCAATAAAGCTAGCATTGATCATGATCTATAATAAGATTGGCTACTTAGAGAATTAGTGATGTAGATAAAAAAGTTTATTTCATCCATAACTAAATAATAAAGCTTACAATGCTTGTGTTTATTGCCAACATTCTAAAAAACTTAATGGGTCACGCAAAATAGGACAATTGTAAAAGATTAAAATTATGACAAATTAAATTGAATTTAATTTGATTTTGGTATGACCAAAAATAGAAGAAATAAAAATAAGAGAAAGAGTTTCCCTTGTTTAGTACATTCGATTAGCATAAGGTTAATTATGAAAATTTGTATTCTAAGCATTAAACCTAATGTGATCGAATGCTTAATTTATAAAAAGAACATCAAGCCACCCCTTCTTATAATAATTAAGTAAGAGTAACCAACCAAGCATCTAGAGATAAATCAAGAAAATACAAAAGGTCTTACAAACACTTACTAGCTATAGTGTGGCTTTGAGTTTTACCAAACTTTAGAAAAAATTCTTTCACAAAAGTTCATGTGGATCACCATTAGAGGCTAAATACTTGGGCAATTTCTTAGCTTGGAATCTATTTGGAAGATCACCAAATTGAACTAAGAGATTTTTTGCATTCAAGGTAACATTTTTAGCCAAAACTATACATGCATGTATATATATATATTGTTTGTATAATCTTATTTATTGATCTTAGCTTTAGAGAATTAAAATTTTAAAAAAATTTCACTGCTTTTACTCTGATAATGATACATAATCCCTTTCATAATATAGGTTAAACTTTTTTGTTTCAGTAGTGCTAAATATTGTTTGAGTAGGTTGAGCCCTAGTACTTAGATCTAAATAGCTCACATTTTAGTCTTTTGGAGACAATACTGAACTCACTTTCTTTATTACTTGCACAGTCATACTCTTACAGCGAATCAAGCTTTTAAAGATGTTACCTAGGACCGAACAACTTGATCTTAGGTTTACTATCAAAACTTCAACATGTTTAATTGTAGTTTAGTTCACTTTCTTGTGTACATAACCTTATTGTACTCATTTTTTGTAAATAATGTACATATACCTTTACTTTCCTTTAGTTGCTCTTAGGTTGCCTTAGTTTCTTTAGGTTTCTTTGACCTAATTATCCTCTTGGTTAGTGCATGCAACAAGTTAGGAATCGAGAGTTAATTCCACTTGATCTGAAAATTGAATAAACTTTTAAGGGAATAAGAAAAAAAAGACAACTCGATCCTACAAACCTATACAGCATGATCGATCTATGGACAATGGGGTTTTAAAAGACTATGTTATGCCTCTTATTATGGATTTCAGCCTAACATTAGGAGGCCAACCATACAAGCTAATAACTTTGAGATTAAGCCTGCAATTATCCAAATGATTCAAACTTTTATTCAATTCAATGGCTATTTTAATGAGCATCCCAATGCTCACCTAGAAAACTTGGAAATATATGATACTTTCAAACATAATGCCATTAGACTTAGGTTGTTTCCATTTTCTCTTAAGGATAGTACCCAAAGTTGGTTAACTTCCATACAACTAGGTTCAATAACAACTTGGGATGATCTTGCTTAAAAGTTCATAGCTAAATTTTTTTCCTCTAGCCAAGATAGCTAAGATGAGGAATGGCATTACCACTTTTGCTCAACATGACTTAAAGAACTTGTATGATGTATGGGAAAAATACAAAAAGCACTTAAGAAAGTGTCCACACCATGGACTACCTAAATGGTTGAAAGTACAAATTCTTAATAATAGCTTGATGGGACAGATTAGGACTATCTTAGATGCTACTACAAGTGGGGCATTGATAAGTAAAACTTATGATGTTGTTTATGATTTGATAGAGAATACGACTATAAATAGTTATTAATGGTTTAATGGTAGGCAGAATCTTAAGAAAGCTTCAAAAGTTTGAGTTAGATTTCTACACAATCTTTAGTGCTAAGGTAAAGTCTTTGACCAAAGCTTTGGAGGCCATGAAAACTTCACACTCCAAGGCTAGTTAGTCTAAGTCCATTCGGAGTTCATTTAGTTATTATGAAATATGTGATGGGGCCATTTTAATGATCATTATCCTATTCAGACCGAACGTGTCTAATACATAAGGCAACCAAATAGCCATACATATAACCCTTACTCAACCATATTGGAAAAAGTAAAAAATATATAAATTATTTTCGAATTTGTTATAATGAATATTAATTTGAAAATATAAAAATTTATTATATAAAAGAATTATAATTTTAAAAGGGATCAAATTTTAAATGATGATATTAATTATTATTAATTTTACAGATCACATCACTTTTATGATAAAAGTTTCTTAAACTTTTAGATGAGAATTATAGTACTTTTCAATATAGTAATTTACTTACTTTTGATGATTTAAAATAATATCGTAAGGTATCTATCAAATATAATAATTTAATTATTATGTGTAAATTACTATGAATTTTTAAACAATCGTTTCATCTTAACATTTACTTATTGTAAATATATATACATATATACATATATATACATTGACTCATTTCGCTAAATGTTACAAATCTATAGTTTTGCGAAAGAAAATAGTATATAGATACAACATTCTTCCCTTCCTTTTACCTTTTGACCCGGTTACGCACGTGAGCTTCATGCATCCAATGGTCCATATATATCCTGTCATATCTAACGGTTCATAAGAAATATGATTACATGTTATCTCGTTGAAATGGAACCCATCGTAGTGATCAACCTTTATGGAACATCGAACCTAAACCCTCCATCTATTTGGAAAAACATAAACATTAAGCACAAGAATGTTCGGAGTGGTATTCCCCAATCGAAGCTTCCCAATGGACATCTCTAGCTTCACCCAAATCGGCACCTTCCATTGGGTCCTCGACATGAACACTTTCATTGGTGAGGCCTACCATCAAATTCGTGAAATCTGCATCTTCCTTTTGAACAGCTTCACTTTGCCTCCGGGCAAGGCTTTAGCTGTCTACGTCCAGTCCCCTGGCTCTCCCTTCGTTTTCTGCGGCGCCGTCACTTTACAGCGCCCCTCCGCTGTGCTTTCCCTCATGTGGCCAGAGCCCGGTGGCCAGATGCAGTTACCCTCTCCTGACTCTGCCACGCCCTCCGCCAAGATCGGTGTCTCGGTGGAGGATCTAACTTCCCTGCCGTCCTTGGATGTGGCTGCCGAGAAGAAGATCGAACGGCTGGCGTTGAAAGTTGGGGAGAACTTGTTCAATTTTATGCAGTCGTTTTGTGGGGTTGATGGGTCTAAGTTGGTGGTGCCTATGGACATTTTGGATAGATGGTTTAAAAAATTTCAGGAGAAAGCCAAGCGTGATCCTGACCACTTGAAGGGTTTTGTGTTGTAATTTTCTGTAACTTTCTTTCTCAAGGTAACTTTTAAGGTTCTTGAATCGTTACAGTCTTAAGTTACCAAATCAAGTAAATTATGCAATTGTTGTAGTTAGAACTTGAGTATGCAGATTTTTTTTTTTTTTTTGGTAATCTTTAAAAATGAAGTTTCCTGGTTTTAGTTTCAATTCTGACTTCAATATGGTACTTCGCAAATACAACGTAATTGAATAGTTGGTAGGGTATTACTAATAAGTTGCCAGGAGAGGTTGTGCTAAGCTTGGTTATGGTAACCAGAATTACTCTTAACACAATTACTCATGCTGAATGCTTTGTTTGCTACTAGTTGCTTTGTGGAATGATTTCTGTGAGTATACTGATTTCAATCCAATTACCATCACCGATTTTCTGTTTACAATGAAACAAATGGAACAAAGCGAAAAAGCGGACGTCAATAAGCTGATATACATATATATATATATATAGATATATAAGAGGAATCCCCTTTAGGAAATTCTGATCTATATCTTTGGTTCCAATGACTGCACTTGAATCTGTGCATCTCGTTTTTTTTAATCCAACCATAACCAGTTGTTGTTTATGAAGCCACCTAAACTGAATCTTCCAAGGAATTTTATTTGTGGATGCATTTCATTTTAAGGGAATTTTATTGACTGAGTAACTGTTAGATTGCCATAAATTCCTGTAATGTGTTTTTGGCAAGTTAAACATGTTTCAAAGTGGTGAACTTATCTTTATGGTTCAGTAGATCTTCAATCATTTCAGTTGAGTCTGTTTAGTGGTGTTATCTTGGATTGGTTAACTTTAAGATTTTTGTTGTGCCCTTATCTTCAAGTTAGACTTTTACACTCATTGCTAGTTTGTTTAGTGGTTTAATGCTTAAAAAGTATTATAACCCAAGTTTTTTATTGCTCTAATTATTTTGTCATATGTTGCTCAGTTTTTGCCCCATATATGTTTTCCATTTTGGAGGTTGGGGCCTTGTTAGTTGGTATTGTTAGAATTTTTCGGTAAGTAAACTTTGATTTTAATAATTAATAAAACAAATTAATAAATTTAGTTATAATCAATATCGAGAAAAAGAAATTTTCCAATCATTGACTCAAACCCATTGTCGAAGTCCACTCAGCGGAATAAGGGGGTACTTATGGCAGAACGGGCCAATCTGGTATTTCACAATAAAGTAATAGATGGAACTGCCATTAAACGACTTATTAGCAGATTAATAGATCGCTTCGGAATGGCATATACATCACACATCCTGGATCAAGTAAAAACTCTGGGTTTCCAGCAAGCCACTGCTACATCCATTTCATTAGGAATTGATGATCTTTTAACGATACCTTCTAAGGGATGGCTAGCCCAAGATGCTGAACAACAAAGTTTGATTTTGGAAAAACACCATCATTTTGGGAATGTACACGCGGTAGAAAAATTACGCCAATCTATTGAGATATGGTATGCTACAAGTGAATATTTATGACGAGATAAATATAAAAATCTAAATAATTTAATGTGATCACTTAAGTATGAATTTTACACATTTAATTGAGTCATAGTGGTAATTAGCTTTTATGCTAGTTGCTTTACATATTCTTACTTCAAAGTTGTGCTTTAATTCAATCTACTCTCAATGAGCATTTGAACTAAAATTTTCCTTTTTTTTTTTTTGAATTCCTTAATCTAACCTGAAAGCTTTTCCATTTCTTTGTTCATGTTTATGATTTATATGTTCCGAGAGAAGGAGAAATGGTTAATTGGGCATAGTGGTGACCCTAACGGTGATATGTTTTACTTCAAACTAAGGTTGATAAAAGCTATCTGATAGGAGATTTGCAAGCGCATAGAATCGTAAAAATAATATAATAATAAGTAAAAAATTGTTCCCGCAGAAATTGTTATATTGAGAGCAACAAGTATCGAAATTGTATCACTCTTTTTTATACTTAGATAAATCAAATAAAAGAGAATATAAACTAATCAAATTAAACCTAAAAACATGCAATACTAACATAAACTAATCTAAATAAACTAAACAAGATCTAAATAGCCCTAAACTAGCAAAACCAAATGCAATAAAGCAAAATATGTTGAACCGAAACTTAATCTAGCATAAAGAACTAAACCAAAATCCTAAATAACTTTTAAATCATGCAATAAAATTAAATTAACCACTAAACATGAAATTAAATCAAAACAAAACAAAACAGAAATTAAATCAAATCAATATGCAAAAGTCATAACTAATAAAACCCTAAATTTATGCAAACATGCAAACCCTTATTAAAAGAATATAAATTAAATAAATGAAAATTCAACTACATATTAACAAAAAAATAAAACAGAAACTGGTTTTTAAACAATTAACACTAAACCGAATGAAAACATGCAAAAAATAATGCAAGTAAACAAAACAAAAACCCTAACATTGCAATCTAAACAAAGCAAGCAAAACTCAATTGTAAATCTAGTCCAGTTACATAAACCGAACGCTTTAAAGATAAATTAAACATGCAATTGAAAGATTTAACTAAACAGAATATGAACTGAATCAGTTAAGCAGCAAGTAAGCAAGAAACGCAACAGATATGCACCAAGAAGCAAAACCAAATGGTAAAGCGTAAGGCAAGAACATAAAACTAAATCTGTTTTAGCACGATAGATAAACCGAATGTAAATAAACTTGAAACTGAATGGAAATTACTCTAAGTAAAACTTTATTAAATTGAAAACTTGAAAAAGAAAGTGCATCAACTAAAAATTAAAAGAGCAGAAAACTAAAGAACCAAGAAAGCTTAAAACCAAAAATTAAGAACAAGAAAACTAAAATTGCTAAGGTTGATTTGTCACCACAACCATTGTACGTCTTTTCCTAGCACTTAATGTATTTATAGGCCTAAAAATCCCCTATAGAGTTCGGCTGAAGATGAGAGTCCAAGAAATCTTCTCCCAATTTCGGTTGGACTTAAACTCTTCAATCCAAGAATGCTTTTAGTCTTTCACTTCAACAAGGATTCTTCACAAGAAAGTTTCGAGACCATACTTTGTCTTCCGTACCATAATCTTCATCCTCTTTAATATGTAGTAACTCACGTCATAATAAAAGAATGCATAGCCGAACATTAGATACCATGAAAATACATTCCGCCAAACTTGTATCATCTTCAAGAAACACGGTTTGCGTTGCACCAAGTTACGGCATTGCTTGAATTCTGGGAGGAAATTGGAGTTTCAATCCGTTTAGACTTCTTCTTAATTGCCACCCATAAAAGAATAGAATTTAACTCTTCATGGAATCCACGTTACATCTTATGCAAGCCTTGGCCTTTCCTCATCATGCCAACTCGTGGCTAAGGCAATTCAACTTGGTACCATTTCATGCCGTCACCTAATATCTTCATGCAAGTTTCCTTATGCCGCCACCTCCTACCAGGCATGCAACAACACGGCTTCCTTGTTCTTTTCCCTTGCAATTTCTTCTCCCGCCACCTTGCATTCTCTTACTTTGTCATGAATTTGCAAATCTTACAATAAATGCCTTGCACTAATGGACAAAATCTTCAAGGCAATGTAGCAACGTTTTTTTTCTTTTCTCTTTGATCCTTGGTCGGCTTTCCCTTGGCCTAGTCATTCTCGCATATTTGCTCTAAAATTCATCCAATTTGCTTCAAAATTCTTTTTTCATGAATTTTCCTGTACGTGAGAAAATTAAGCAATTTAGGAGTAAAAATTAAATTATTTTACCCAAAACTAAGCAAAATTCATAAAATTAAGCACTAAAGACAAATCTAAATAACTATTTTATAGAGTTATCACTGTCACTAGAATATGGGATACAGGACAGCACATGAAGGCTTTCTAATTGGAAGTTGCCTTTCAGACATTGGGTGTGATTTTCTTGGTGAACAACTTCTTTGAGGAACCAAGATTAAAGCAGTATCTTTATAGAAGTAATTTGAGGGTCTTAGTTAATGCTGAACCACATGAGATTGTGAGGGGAACAGAGTCAAAGAACACTGTAGTTTTGGGTTTTCGCTATTCAGATATTTGTGTACATAATTTTCAAGACAATCATTTTTCAGGAGTGTATCGATAGACTGGAGATAATAGGAGTTATGATAGGAAACATAGACGAAGGTAGTAATCATGATCTTGAGATTTGAGCTTTTAGGCTGTTGGATGGGAGGAGTCCATGGCTATGCCACAGAGACCTTTGGCTTTGATGTTTCGCTGCATCCTAAGGTATCCTTTTTCACCCCATCCTGTGCCCCATAAGTTCTTGATAAGCCAATAGTTGACAGCATGGTCCAGTTCAGTTCCATAGTCTCCAGTGAAATTCCGCTGGAGTAGAACTGAAAGGCATAACCTCGAGCATCAATGGACACTGATACTGGTTAGTTTGCAACAGCTTTCTGTAATGCCTGTTCGTTATTTGCAGGAACAATTTCATAGCCAGTAATCATAGCTGCATGGGAAGCCTCCTTTGCTGTGTTGCAAATACCGTCATCGCCCTTGTAGGGGTAAGTGGCTTCAGATGCGATGCCATGATTCCGGATTATGAATTCAAAGGCATCTTCCATTTCACCACTACCACGTCCACCGTTGGTGTCACAATCTACCAGCTCTAGCTCAGACAAGGAAATTAGTTTTCCTGTAGTTAGTTGGCGAATTCCCTCAGTCGCTGCCACAGTGGAAAATATCGGCTGCAACATGAATTTTTATAAGATAGCGTACATAATTCATTTATTCTAGACCTCATCAGGAAGAAAAAGGTTTAGTTGTATGCTTGAACAGTTAATGCTCACCGCATTGGCCTTGGTTCTTGACGGGTGTAACAGCCCCTTTTTTCCTCCAGTCTATACTGACTGGCGAAGCGGTCACATTCTCATACCTAAAAGACGTCTTTTTTCTCGATGTCAGTCTTTGGGGCCTCCTGTACCCGTTCCTGTAAGCCCTAAACTTTTCGTTGGTCTGGTCTCCAAATTCATTGATGCTTAGTTTGTAAGCTCGATTTCCGACAGCATTAAATGACTCTATAAACTCCACATTGCTTTTAAATATTTTGAATCACATTTCCTTCTCGGCATCATTCTTCTAGACTTGTCCATGTTCTGCCATCCACTGCTCGTGCCTCTCGTACAATAATGCCTCGTGCAGCTTGTGAGACATAACATGTGGGATGCAAACAGCTAGTACATGAAAACATGCTACGACACAATCTCTTGGGAAGACCAAAGCCATCTTTAAATTGGTGATGCTACAATTCAGAATTGTGGCATTTTGGATATGGACTTTTCCTTATATATAGAATGAAAACGATGCATAGAAACAGAATACTTACCTAAATTTTCACCTCATTGTCGTGTA